TGCTGTCCCCGCACTGTGACAAGAGCTTTCTGGATTTGACTCCAGGGGTGCCACGGCATATGTAGGTCAGCCCTAGGGCAGTCCCAAATTTAAAGGAGCACAGTGTAAACAGGCAGAAAAATAAGTGAAATTTCATTCCTCCACTGCATCTCTCAGAAGATAATTAAAGGGATCAAATTCATAATCCCTGGCCGCACTTACATCTTCTCTTCACCCCAGATACCTCACACCTCGCAGATCCAGAGCGTTTCATTTGTCAAAATCTCCAAGAACCACCCCCCCACCTCCTGCCCAAGTGTCTTCGCTCTCTTGCTCTCTCTCTCTCTCTCTCAGCGGAACTGGAGACCTAGCCCTCTTTGACGACCACGTGCCCTGTTCTCCCAGTCTGTGGGGCCCTGCCCTTCTCTGCCCCTGCTCACAAAAGGTCCTGGCACCAACCGGGCAGAGAGGCTCTTCTGAGCGAGCCAGGAGCGAAAAATAAACAAACAGTTTAAGATTCCCTTTGGTAGTCTTGGGGAGCAAAGAAGTCCACAGATACCACGCTAAAAAATTTTATCCAATCACACACATATATCACTTAACTGTCACAATAGCCCTTAACTAACCTACTATATACCTTTCTCCCTAATCCTCCTAGGAACACCAACGAAAATTCCAATCTCCACCTGGATTTCCCTAGAATTACAATCAGACATTGCTTCTTTCCTCTACAGCACGGCTGGAAGACTCTCCCTGACGTGATGCTTGTATTGCTATATCTGTCCTCTGCCTGTGACCAAATAACTCTAAAGCTTCCAAAACCTCATCTAAATTCTGCAGCCCTCTCCCAGTCTCTCTAGCAGGAATGTACACAGCCCATCCTTATCTGTCCACCCAGCAAACCTCTTCTCCGGTCCTTTGATTCTGCACACACAACCCCCAACCAACATGAAGCACCTCTTGACGCCCTGGCCCTCCAGCTCTCCTGCACACTACCTGCACCCTGTGTTCCTGGTGGCACATGTGCAAACCTCCACGGTGTGGCAGAGCTACGTGGTCTAGGTACCCTAGGCACTATGAACTACACAAGAGCAGTGGCCCTGTGTCTTCATTAATTTTGTGTCTCCAGCACTAGCACAGAATGTGGCACACACTAGAGGTGATGACAAATGTTTGCTGAATTCTTTTTCTCTCTCAGGGAATAATGTGTAATACAATATATATTTTACAATGAAGATAAGCCAAAAAGCTAGGTTAATTATTAAAAAAGAAATTTTTTAAACTCTGTAATTCTGCCTGTAATATTAAAGGAATGAAAAATTTTCTATCCAGTCACTATATCCTCATAATATGCAACCTCACGTAAAATCAGAAAGATCTGCTCAGTGTCCTTGGCACACGCCACACCTATTCTGTCTCTGTGCCTCGGGTCCTGGTGTTCCTGACCTGTCATGATTTCCCATCCACACAAATACAATCCAGTTTTAAAGGCCCTGCTCTTATTTCCCTCCTTCACAGGGTCTTCCATAAAAACTCAGGCACCACAGATCCCTGCCTTCTCTGAAATCTTAGGTGAACATGTGTACTGAAGTATTACATTTATTCATAGCTGCCTTTCCCCAACAAGAGATTTCAGAAGGCTCCTACTGCCTAACCATAAGTCAGGGATCCAGAAGAAGGAACTCCTGCACAGGAGGAGATTAACTTAAAAAACTTTCCAGTGCTAATATTTTAGCACTGAATTGTGAGTTTTTATTTTATCCATTCAGCTAGACTTTGAGTTCTTTGGAGGAAGGGATCATATTTTGGGTTCTTTTTATTCCTTACAGTGCCTAACATTCAGCTGGACACAAAGTTTTTATCTTATATGTGTTTTGACTGATTTGAGTCCAAAAGTTTTACCTTCTTCACCCCAACTCCATCCTGTATCTGCAGAAGGAAGTCTAACATCTGGTCATCAGTGAAATACCCAGGAGTAGGCTGGCTGCAAACGAGGACAAGCAAGTAATCAACAGCTGGACACAAAGTGTTTATCTTATATGTGTTTTGACTGATTTGAGTCCAAAAGTTTTACCTTCTTCACCCCAACTCCATCCTGTATCTGCAGAAGGAAGTCTAACGTCTGGTCATCAGTGAAATACCCAGGAGTAGGCTGGCTGCAAACGAGGACAAGCAAGTAATCAACAGTGAATGGAAAACAAGGACTCTTTCTCTCCCTGCTCTTGCATCAGCCCCAGATACCAAGCAATTGTGCACACTGCAAACCTGTGCAGGCCCTGAAGGCTCAGTGTCCAGTGAGGTGTAAGATTCTGCCCACGCAGCAGGACCAGGCCTTGTCTGGTTGTAATCAGGAGGTTGCTGCAGTTGGAATCTGGTGCCTTCACCATCTGGAGTAGCTCAACACCATCACTGAATTAAACAAGACCCCAACAGTTAGTCTCTGGCTTGAATGAGATTCCTGAGTCATTTATTTTGGCTTTTTCTCTCCGTGTGCATATGTTGGTATAAATTTTTGTATTCATTTCCCATCATTATCTTATCAAGTAGGTCACTCTGTTGTTCCAGTTGAATCTCATTTTCTTGACCCTTAGAAACCAAGGATCCCTAAAAAATTCCAAGCAAGTTCAAAAGGAAGTCACAGGAGAAGCACTACTTCTCACATTAGATGGCTACTCCGGGAAAGGTAACAGGGCAAGGGGTAATGGCAGGGCAGGCAGGTGGAGACTGGGACAGGAGACCTGGAATTGTCAATAAGCTTGGACAACAATGCCTGGCATACACTTCATCAAATTGTTTCTTTCTTTGTACCACTGGGACCATTCTATTTAATACCTGTCAAATTTACAGAAACATGATACTACCTAAGAAAATGCTAGAAAATGACCTGGAATATCTGGTAGAAAAGAGCAAAACAATTGTTGCCCAGGCCTGGGGTTAAATAGGTAAAATCTGCTGCACACAACAAACTACATGCTTTTAGTTAAGAAATAAATAAGAATAAATATAAGATTTTATGGATGCTATCCTTGCTTCTGTCAAAATGATGCTTCAACTAAGAGAAAAATACAGGAAAACAGAAGGTCAGATACTTCAGCACAGTTTTACAAACAGTATTTTAAATTAATCCATCTCCCCACTCTCGCTGACTCAGAACCCTAAAAATATATCCTTCCATATCCTTCCTTGCAACCTACGTGTGAAATGATCACACATCACGGTCACCAATGCACACAAAGGTACTTCAAAAAGTCTGTGAAAAGATTCGTGTTATCTTTTAATTCTATTTTTCAATGAACTCTTTGAAGTACCCTCGTAGATACCAACACATTATTTTACAATGAGGAGAGAATTTCTCAGTCATGTTAACCAGACCATAAAATGGTGTATTAAGGCTAGCACTGTTTCCCCCCAAACCTCTGCCCATATATTCACCAGTCCAGCCAAACCTACAGTCTCCACAGCACATGAGTCACAGGAGATCTCAGTGTGGCCGAGGACAGATGCCTGCCCTACCTGTAAACGTCAATGAGCTCAGACAGGTTGACGGATCTTCGCTTCTCCCACGCTGGCTCTTCTATCTGCAGAGAAGGTGGTGAGCTGTCTCGATTTTGGGCCTGAACAAAAATGTCCCGCAGGGCGACCGCTTGTATATTTCCTAGCACCATAGGAAGAACCAACACTGAGAAGTTGACTTTAACAGAATTATCCCAGGGTGAGGATCTCAGCCCAAGACTCAGAGCCTGATCAGATGGGTCCGACGTGGGATGAGTGGGGGAGTGATTAAGCAGATGCTAGACAAAGAGCCTCCTCCCTAGAGAAGGCAGAGAGGGAACGCAGAGCTGACAACCCCCAACAAGTGCGGGGGAGTGAGCGCCCCAGCAACAGGAGGTGACAAAAAGGCAGTTCCTGGGCTTGCACCCTGACTCACAAGGGAGGCCTCATCACATGCACCAAGGGGAACAGTAGCAAAACCAGCCTTGCTTCTTACCGAAGCCAAACAGGATGTAGACAGCCCCATTGGTGGTGACATAAACCTGAGGACCGATCAGATTCCCCACTCCCACGACGTTGTACTTCACAGGCCGGCCCACTGGACTCCCCGTCCGGCCAGACACCAGCAGGAAGCACAGATCTGGCTGAAGAAGTGAAAGAGAGGGCTGAGTCCATTGCAGCCCTGCTGTTTCCTCATCAAGCAGCTTCTCCCGACAAGCACTGCCTCCCTGGTAGCTAAGGGCTCAGAAACACTTCCCAGAGTGGGACAGCACAAAGCCAAACCTGCTTTGCTTTATTTTCCTGGAAGTAAGAAAGTGAGACAAGTGTCCCATTCCCTTATTAGACACATACAAAGGGCTTCTCTGGGGTCCCCCAGACAATTTCTCCAAAGCACAACTGTTGCTGACTGAACAGTCTCCTGAGGCACAGAATTCTAGCCTGCAGCTAAATATAGGGCAGCAGGGCCACCCCTGAGGATTCCTGGGTCTTCACTCCCATACCCAGGAATCCCCAGTCACATTTGGTCCCACCAGAATCCATCCAGACAGCACTCTCCCATCGTAGCATTAGATGTCTGTCCCAGCCAATATCAGTTCCACTCTCAACTGGAGATCAGAAAGCATTTTCTATACCCAGGAATCCCCAGTCACATTTGGTCCCACCAGAATCCACCCAGACAGCACTCTCCCATCGTAGCCTTAGATGTCTGTCCCAGCCAATATCAGTTCCACTCTCAACTGGAGATCAGAAAGCATTTTCTGTGAAGGGCCAGATAGTAAACCTTTCAGGATTCGCCAGTCTGCAGTCTGTAGCAACTACTCTACTCTGCTTTTCTAGCATGAAAGCAGTCATAGACAACACATAAATGAATAGGCATGACCGTGTCCCAATAAAACTTTGTTTACAAAAACAAGCAGTGGACCAAATCTGGCCTGTAGGCCATAGTTTACCAACCCTGGCTTTAGAGGATTTTCTTTTGGGGAGAGAGTCAGCAACTGGGAAACATGAAGATTGTATCGATATCTTGATTTCAGTAAAGCTTCGACAAAGTGTATCACCCTGAATTCTTATGGACAAGATAAAGAAATGTGGTTTGCAGTATACTTGGAAAAAGGTACTCATGGGGTCAGTACTAACCCAGCAGGAGGCTTTTACTGGCATGTCATGGCACTCTGCTACTGCCCCATTCCTACTGAACATTCTTATCAAAGATTCGAATAGAATTCAAGTTTATAACAAAGCTGAGAGGGATAGCTAATATGCTGAAGGACTAACTCAAAATTCAAAAAGGCCTTAGGGTGCAAGATGGGTCAAAATCTGCAAGAAAAAAACTGGTCTATTAATTAATTGATTTATGATGTGGGTGCTTTAACTGATTATAATCAAAAAGTAAATCTTAGGAAGGCGACTGCAGGCTTTGGCTGTATAGAGTCTGCATCCAAAGAAGTAATAATTTCTTTAGGTTGGTGTAACTGATTATACTATGAATAAGAAACTGTTTTCAGATATGGGTACCACCTTTTAAAAGAGATATGGACAAACCCGAGTGCAAAGGAAAAGAAATAAAAAAGTTTTTTAAAAATTTGAAAAAAGAAGGGTCTGGACTTTCTGTTGCATGAGAAACAGTGTACGAAATTGGGAATTTTTAGTCTTGGGAGTCACAGGTTTAGAGGCACCACAATAATGGCTAAAGGGCTTTTATATAAAAAGGGGATTAGACTCATTCAAAACAGTCTATGGGACTGAAGCTGAAACAATAAATGGAAGCTATGAGAAAGCAGATTTCTCATCAATAGGACAGAATTTTCTAGAGCTGACCAAAACCAAAATGGGCTGCCTTGCAAATTAGCAATACTCCCATCAGCCTGGGTGCTCAAGGAGAATATGGTTGCCAGTATGTCTAGAATGCTGAACCAAAGATCACAGCATGGCGTGAGAGGGTCAACCACATGGCTTTTAAGATCCTTTCCTACTAATGTTCTAGGCCAGATCAGTTCCCCTAATCCCAAACCAAGTCCAGTTCTCCCAAGCTCACCTCACTCAAAACCCGGATCTAAGAATGCAATCACCCTAAGTCATGAACCAAATGTGTTTCCTTTCTCAAAAAGAGAGAACCTTCTGTTTCTGCAGCTTAAACAGGCTCCCCGGGTTCTCTGTTGCTGGAAGAATGGAAACTATTCCATATCTGCACACTGCTGTGCAAATGGA